AAAACAAGGCAAACGTATATCGTCGGTCTGACAGACCAATGCGCGGGTATAGGAAGGTTAATGCATGTAGATTAATGAGATTAGCAGCACGAGTTTTTTTTACTGTAAGGTTAATACTGTAATTAATTAATTTTTTAAATTATTATATTAAATTAATTAAGTAATTAATTCAACATAGAAATTTAAAAACAAATTCTTGGCGCATTATTTCTTTCTCACATCTTTAACGCAAATGTTTAGTCTGAGTATTCTTGCGCACAGTTTCTTTTCCTTTATAACGCTGTGACACAGATATCACGGGAAACAAACATTTTACGAGGTATTTACGATCGTTTCTCAATCATTTTAATTTATGCTATAGTTTGTGCTATAATTATATGCCATAATTAACCTTTATGCTATAATTAACAGAGCAAGTTTTACTGATTGTAAAATTAAATCAGTAAAGGAATTTAGAACGAGAAGTTCTTGCCATGTTATTTCTCTTTTACATTTTTTATATAAGCATTTAATCAGGAATTATTGCGCACAGTCTTTTTTCATTTAACGTGTGCATGAGACACAAGTCATCACGAATATTTTACGAGATATTTACGATCGTTTCGTAATAATCTTACTTTAACATTTTTATGCGTAGAATAATTAGATTAGCAAAGTGGGTTTCTCTGACTATAAAATTAAATCAGTATAGAAATTTAAAAGAAGGTTTTCAACATGTAATTTATTTTCTAAATCTCTGACTAAAAGCGTTTAATCGGCATATTCTTCTCCCGTTGCGACATCGAGTATATTACGAAAAACAAAATTTTACGAGATATTTTGCGATTATTAATGATCTTGCTTTGATCTATACCTAAGGCATAGAATAGGTTTTCTAATTTTCATTTTAAGTTATAAGTTTTTTGTTGAGAAATAATTGCATAATATGTACAATTTTCAAGAAAATATAATTTATTTACTCGAGGCGAATCACTCGCCTCGTAAATGATATTTTAAAAATAATTCTGTCAGAAAATTTTGATAATTTTTTCGGATTTTTCTAATCCATTTTTAAATCATCATAAGCTTAAAGAGTCAACTTTTATTTACAGTTTAAAAAAATAAAATTAATAGATATCAATTTTACAACATTTAAATAATTTGCAGAGTTGTGCAAAAACAAGTATTGTGCAAGAACTATAATAATAATTATTTCGTTATTATAATTTTAGTTTTAAAGATATTCTATATTGATAAACAAAAATAAATATCATATTATATTATATTTATATGTTGCATTAATGTTTATTTACTATTTTTTAATATAATTTTTGATGTCATAACGTCATGCTACACAATTTTTTTTGTCTATTGCTTGCCCTTGGGAACTTATGTCTAGGAAATCAGCAATCAGAGTTTGATCTAATCAGGCAACCAACAATCTTGCAAAACAGTGTATCGCTACAAAGTACATTATCTTACTTTGTAATTTATTTTTTCATTCTATTCGTATACCGCTACTTTCAGAAAATGCAGAAAGACGGGATCACTTAATCAATATCATATTGTACAGAAGAACGAAGGAACGATTTTAATTATTTATCAACATACGCGTTTTACGTAGACGTTGTAATGCCAAGCTTTTGCCGGATACACACGCGGTCGTTCTAAAGCGATGTAATAAGAGAGAACAGATAGGAGATCGATAATCGTCCGTCACGAAAGGGCGTACAAGCGCGCGCCTTACCAACCGATTTGCGAGAGCGGTGCGGTCTAACGTACCGTAAGGGGGTTAACGGGGTATTCGGGCTTTATAGGAGGCTTTGAAGGGAAAGGAACGAGCGCGAAACGTGGGGCAAAATCGGATCGTTGGTCTTGAGGAATCGAATCCCGACGGGTGCAGTCCCGAGTCGCGCGAAACGTATACTTGCCCTCTGGACAGTCTGGACGGGTCGGGCGGCAAAATATTCGTTATCTCACATCTCGCGTAATATCGACGTGACGCGGCATGACGCGACGTGACGCGATGTTATCTTTACGGTGTAACGTTACTGTTTGCACCCATTGCTCGATATAGCCGCATTTTTCTCCCCCTTCCGCGTAACGCTCGCGTCATGGACAGAAGGGCGAAGACTCGGCTGGGACTGCTGCATGGGAGAGTGGAGATTCGTGAAAGCTCGACCCGTCGGCTCGACGACGAGAGGAATCGTCGTGAGAAATTACGACGATTCCGGTCGAAAACGGTGGTTGTGTCACCGTCCGAGATCCCGCGGATCTTCTCTTTCTCGCGGTCGACGTCGCGCGGGTCGCGCTATATACGTGCGGATAATTGTTGGTGACTTGCTGGCGTGCGTGAGTTCACAATGCGACTTGAATTTACGTAACCGTCGCAACGGCTCGAACGCGGCTGCCGCGGCTGGATACGCTGTGTATATTACGGAACTATCGCGACTCGAAAACAAAACCGTGAGAGAAAATAAAATTTTCCCGATGATTCGCGCAACGCGACGTGCGAGATCGAGCGACCTTCGAGAAGATGCGACCATGGCACGGCGATGGAATTAAAGAAGTAAATCAAACGTTACGATAATAGCCCGAGTTAAGCCGACGAATTTTCGTTATAAAAAAATTGTGAAAGGCTATTTTTTTTTCTCATTAATTTCGCCTACATATATGACGATTGGCCAACCAAACGAATCATAAATTCGTATTTTTATTCATGTACAAATGTTCGTGAAAGAAACCGGGATAGCCTCGGTTGTCGGATTTACCTACGCAACCGGTGGTGCAATATTAACGTTCTTTTCAAATATAAAAAACTATTACATCAGAACTATCTTGATTTCAATAAGTTACGAAAAAAACCGGCACTTTGCGTCCATCTCGCGACATAACTGATTCGATTTTATAATTATTCAACACAGGATCTATACACTGAGAGAAAAAAATAGTTTCAGTTATTACAATTTCACTATAATTTTTAGTTATGGTTTAGTTTCGATGCCAACTACATTTTTAGTTATTTTAACAATGCGAATTATAGCCGATACTACATTATTGTTGTCATAGCTTTAACATGCATTCATTCATATGGTTAACATGGTTTTATACACTATAACCTATGATTTATGTATAGTAAGTCGTACTATAAATATAATGAATATGACCATAATCGAAAAATCTATACATATAAGATTATTTTTACTAATATTATAGCAATAATTAAAAAAATAAGCATTTTAACCATAATTATTTTACTATGCAATTATAGTCGTAAATACCAAATACTTTTCTCTTAGTGCATCTATATCATATTTAAAGTGGCCTTATCAAGAGAACGAAGCGAGGAGCATCCTGACTCCCCGAATTCGGAAATCGCTATTTCATATTTTAAATTTAAATCTTTGAGAAAAAGCTGCAAACTAATTATATTTTGCTTTTTTAATTTATTTATTCATTGAACCTAAGATCTATTTCAATTGTAATCAACAAAAATCTTAACATTAAATTATAAACCTAGCTTTTGGCTTGTAGTCTGTTAACTTTATTTGATTTTTCATCCGTTGAGCCCTTAATAAAATTTTATGATTTTAATTAATATAAATAATTATTACCGAAATGCTCGCGATAGTCCGTTACATGTTACGCGATATTAACCGGAGAAAGTGGAGACCTCGACGTCTTTCTGTCACGGTAGGCGCATTTTGTTTTATCTTATCTCGTATCAAAAATAATTTTTGAAAAATTCAGGTTTTCGGGATACAAATGTCGTAAACTGATATTTGTACCCGTTCTATGAATGTTGTATGAATGTTGCTATCGACAGGATTCAATTTTTTAATGATTTATTTAAACAATATCAAGTACAAAATAGGACAAAATTGCGATTTTTACGCTTTTTCTGTCCCAATGATACCATGTTGTTTATGAATAATTTCTGAGATTAGCTCTACACTGTTTAATCAAGAAAACAACATTATACTACATATAGCTATCTGACATACATCTTTAAATGCGTCTATAAAATGCAATCAAATTTGTTTAAATATATATATATTTTTTTAACAACAATCGATTCCTTTCATTATTCTACATATAAAAGTATGACGGTAAAGTCATCGAAAAGTGAATACTTATTATGATAATATCTTATAATTCGAAATCATTTCCTAATTCGTTTCGATTCGAATAAAATTGTGTCGATTTGATTCAATTCGAATTCGAAAGAGGTAATAAAATTCGATTCGATTCGACACATCAAAAATCCTTGATTCTCACATCTCTAGTGTCAACTTACAACTCTTGTTAGTCAAGTAACTTCGACCAATCTAATTTACCTTTCACGCCGATCTTCGCGATCTTTGTGTCAGATGATGGACGATATAATATAAACTCGATTCTCGAGTCCCAACGACCGACGGTCGGGCACGATAATATAATTTCGATAGAGCGTATATAGACAGAAGCGGATACAGTTCTAGGTCACTGTCCTGACATCGAGGCGATGCGACCGAGAGAAACCGAGCGTCCGGACGGTCCGTTACACGGAACCCGTTAGACGAGGAGCGTGGACGAGCGCGAGCGTGATCGTGACCCAATCGTAGCCGCGACCGCGAAACCGATCGGTCGACCGAGATTCCGCCCCATTTCTTTTCGGCGATCACTCTCTCCGGTGTCTCCGCCCTTCCTTTCCCAATGGCTCGATAAACGACGAACGAGCGCGTCACGCACTCGTAACTTCGTCGCGCATAATGTAATCGGTGCACGATTCTCAAATTCCGCAAGCTCGCGCCGACTTGCGAACAGCGCAAGAAAAAGAAATCGGCAAATTCGAGTTTGCATTCCTTTATACTCCTTATCAATCGTATCGATTCGTCAACAGCACGATTTTTTTTTACAGAATGAAATGGCGCGAATTGTCATGAATCGACCGATTCATCACTCACTCGTAACTTCGTCGCGCGTAACTTTTAATCGGCACGATTTTCCAATTCCGCAAGCTCGTGCCGACTTGCGAACAGCGCAAGAAAAAGAAATCGGCAAATTCGAGTTCACATTCCTTTATACTTATCAATTGTGTCGATTCGTCAGCGGCACTTTTTTTTTACAGAATCAAATGGCGCGAATCGTCACGAATCGACCGATTCGTCACTCACAGCCCACTATTCGTATGAAATTCACGAACAACGCGAATTTGAGTGGTACGTTCGTTATTGCTTACCCAATCGTGTCGATTCGTCAGGAGAATTTTTAACGGAAACCAACGGCGGGAATTAACTGACTTGTAATGATTCTCTTGCTCTACTTATAGTTGCTTATTCTTCATGTAATCGACCTTACGTAACGCAATTTATGTATACAAAAGTGCACCAAGAGAAATTTAAGTGACAACAAAATTTGATTTGCTGCAAGAGCAAACTTTTTGCTATTGCAACAAAAGGTTTGCTACTATTGTTAAATTGATTAGCTCTCGCAGCAAACCAAGTGTTTGTTGTCACTATAGTGACAAATGATTTGCTAATACAGCAAAAAATTTATCTCAGTGTGTTGTTATTAAGTAAAAGTCGCTAAACTAAAGTCAATTTGGACATCGCACAGTTGGTTCATATTTATAAATATAATTTTGACGTACGCTTTCAAAAATGAACAGACAATCGCCTGTTCTTGCACTCGTTAAAGACATTAGGCCTGTTCGTTTTCGCTGCACTTCTGAACTAGTGCAATAGGTTAGACTAAAACAAATATATTTTCTTTCGTTCTAACTTATTGCACTAGTTCAGAAGTGCAGCGAAAACGAACAGGCCGATTAAAAGATATAAAAGTACCCGAATTGTCATACGATAAATCACGAACAAATCACGAACGACAAGTAACGAGTTACGAATTGCAGACGACGTGGAAGGTGGAAGGTCCGCGTTGGGGAGCGACAAACTTTCGAAAATCTTCTGATAGCGAAGCGCGATTCGCGTAGTCTGGCAACTGGCTTAAGGGATGCACAGATGTAACCAATAAGCGAATGAGTAAAGACCGTTTAACGCCGGGTCATTATTACCACTGGCAGCTACAACGCGATGAGAAAAAACTACGGCTTCCGCCGATCGAGCTACGTAGGTGCTTGGGGACAGGTGTTGCGGACTTCTTGCCCATGCAACATTCTCGCGCACGCCGACTGGGAGGAAGCGCGATAAATTATCGTGCCCGCATGTTATTTACTTTACTTCACGCTCTTTGATAACCGACTTAAGACATCGGTGTATACCCGCCGATAACGGGATCCGGTGATGGTATGCTAAGGGCCCCCGCACAATGAAAAATATAAGGAACAGATATTAACGATTAAGACTAAGGAATCAGGAATAAAGCTGGATGCACAATGAAAAACATAGGCAACGGAAGCAGGAAATAGATTTTTAACCTATCGAAAGCCCGTGTATCAATTCTTTATTCCTGATTCCTTAGTCCTAATCGCTAATATCTGTTCCTTATATTTTTCATTGTGTGGGGGCCTTAATTCTATAAGGAGCTCACGCGATTTGCGCGGCGCAGCCGAATTTTCCTCGCAAATGAAAGCCTTGCGAGGTGAACGTGCGGTTATCGCGGGAAACGTGGTAAAACGCAGTTGCATGACAGCTTGTGTTTAATAACGGCCAATAGCACGTACGGCCTATAGCATCCGGCTGCGTCTCGAAGTGTGTCAGCGGGGCACCGGCCACCGAAACGCGTCCGAGCGTATAGCTAAGACGCGACTGGAAAGACATCCTTATCTAATTGGCATGGACGATTGGAAAAGCGATCGGGATCGAATACCGATTGGCACGAGAAGTGCAAATCGACTTTCTTCCGTGTCGCGTGTCTTCGAAAGAAATCGCGCGCGTGTTTCCGGTTGTTCTCAAAATATCCCTCTCCGTCTCCTTTCGCATTTTTATTGCTTCTTATACGCGCGAGATCGCACATCCCGGAAGCGTACGCTGAAATTATATATTTACAGATATAAACAAACTGTGCGACGTCTTAATTGACTTTAGTTGACAGCGATGTTAACAACGACACGTTTCGTATATTATAAATTTAACTGACACAGTTTATATATCCGTGAATATATATTTCGATTAAATTTTGTGCAGAAACGTGAAATAAATTAAGTATTAAGCTAAAACCGCGGTTAATTGATTAATTATACGATTCAACAATTTTTTATTTTGTATATTTCTGCATAAATTCGGTGAACACAGAAGTCCATGCCAGTTTAGAAGTTTAAAAATTCGAACAGTAGGAGAGGAGCATGCGATATCTCTTTCAACGCATTCCACGCCGGTGTGGCGATCGGGAACGCAAAGAAGCACGAGATACTCCGAGAATCGCGGTCAACATCCATGACCTACGTTAATAAGTTTCGCGACGTTCGATTCGGTCCAGACGCGGAGTTTTTTTTTTTGGCGCAATTTAATGAAACGCGAATTTTGCAAGTGCGTAACACGGTGTTCTCACTTTTTTTTGTCCCTGAATAAATATATGGCACATGCCGTGACACGCTGTAACGGTAGACGTGATATACAATCTGGATTTATCTTAAATTTGAATATAATCTATTTGATCTGACGCAATTGCATGCGATCAATGATAATCGACAGGTGTGCGGAACGGCCTCGGGAATTGGTAGCACTTCCCTTCTGCTAAGAACTCTATCGATGTACTCGATCAATTATTTAATCAACGATATATTAAGCGACGTGAAAAAGGATTACTCATCCGTCTGCGGCACCAATGATAGGCGGTATGTGTGCCATGCGTTCCAACGTGTGTGCACGTAATAAAACATCTTATCTATACGTCGTGGCGAACAACTTCTGTTAAGCGTTATTCACTCGCTCGTCTCGCAATTACATTGGAATCGACTAATTGAAACTAACGGAGAACTATATGTCCCTCGCGTTTATCGAAGCTATACTTTATCATTTATCTCGAGCAACATGCTTCGCTTACCCGATGGTCTCATGGCGCACTATCTTCTCTTCGATTTGCCTTCGACACTTGAGAAAGATGCCACACCTGAGGAAGGTGCTCACAGATGAGCACGGGATATTAGAATGAAAACGCAAACCTCTCTCTCTCGGCGTAGATAAGACGCGCGATGAGTTGACTTTCTTCGAAGCGGGACGACTAACGAAACGTGCACTGAGCGTTCATGAAACTAACTCAAGTCCCTTATACCCGTCTATATACCTCCGTAGAACGGAGCGTTTTCTCCCACTGCGAGACGCTAGCGATACCTCAACTCACCGATACATGATTCGCATTACCCTACTCTGCCGCGTGTATGTATATAGATAAAACTTTTTAATTTCCTTTTTTTTACGTGCATAATGTTTCTATGCAATACTGCACCTTTAACATTTCAGATTTTTTTAACGTCCTCTTAATTTTTCTCGGTAATAAAAAAAATGTCAATAAAAAAAAAAGCAATCAATCTGCCACGTAAAACTAACATTTACTGTCAAAGCATCCCGATTCAATAATTCTCACTTTTTTCTTTGCGTTATTCATTCAAGACGTTAAAACGTCTTATTCGTGGTCACCGTATGTACTGTACGCATCTAACTATGTAATTAATCAAACATTAATTCAAACCACGCACGTTTTTAATTTTACATTAAAAGATAATTTTTGCATTATTTTGCGTTATTTAATCACTTGCTGGAATCGTCTAATTAAAGTTTTTAGAATCGACATCAATAAAAATTTATTAGTTTAACTGGTTTTAACTGGTTTTGATAAAAATCATAGAATACCTTTAGATTATTTCCTAAATTTTTCTTTTTTAGAAAGAGGAAAAGAAAAAGAATTTCAATGTAAAATAATTACTCGTTTTAACTCATTCTCGCATCTCGTTTCATTTCTCGACGCCTACAGTAGAATTTCATTAGCGACATACGACAATGCATTCCAGCTCGCGAGCTGTTTTCAGTAATTAAAACATGGTAATTGCAATAATATTGCAACCATATTAACAAGTTTTTAATGTAACGGGTTAAAACCTGTTATATAGATATATGCAAATAGAAATATTTTTGTAATTATACAAATTATGTATGATGAAATAATAGGAGCAATTTCGTAAGTTTCAAAACTTATATTATTTTGTTGACGTGAAATAACACAAAAATAAAATTATTTTCAAGAGTTTAGAAATATGTCGTCACATATGGCAAAATTCATCGAAATTGATCGATTAAACCAAATTGCATACGTTATAAATGTGAATTTCGTACTAATAAATGGAAAATATAAACATATGCATTATAAACACTAATAATAATAACGTTAAAACAGATAAAAAATATATGTACGATGTACATTGTACATAATAATGTACATAATAATGTACATAATAATGTACATTGTACATAATAGTACAATGTACATTGTACATAATATATATTTTTGACAATTTTAACTTTGTATACATATAAATACAGGGTGTCCAATTTTAAAGTTGACAGTGCTATATCACGCGAACCGATGATTTCATTGAAAAATGTTTCAGACAAAAGTTGCATAGTTTGGAGGGGACACATGATCCAGATTTCTTAAATAGAATTTGGTTTATTCCTTGAAATAAAAGTTGTAGATCTCGTCGAGACGTTTTCAAAACACTATAATGAAACTCTCTTTTGTTAAAAATTTCCTGATATTTTAAAATTTGTCATAATATTTTTAATGTAAAATAGGAAATATCTCGTAAAGTATTGATTACTTTACTTTCATACTTTTATACGTAGAATGATGAAAGGAATCAATTGTAAAAAAAAAAACAAAAACAATTATTTTAAAAAATTTGATTGCATTTTGTAAACGCATTCAATTTTGCAAAATTGCACATATAAAAATTAATATTATTATTCGATTTCTTTCATTATTCTACGTATAAAAGTGAAAGTAAAGTCATCGAAACACGAATACTTTGCGAGATATTTCATATTTTATATTTAAAAAATTATGACAAAATTTAAAATGTCTCAGAAAATTCTTAACAAAAAAGCGCTTTGTGGTAGTGTTTTGAAAACGTCTCGACGAGATCTATAACTTTTAACTAAAAAAAAAACCAAGTTCTATTTAAGAAATTAATCCCCTTTAAAATTTCTTGAAAACGATGACATCTACGATATGACTCACAACTGAATCATATGTCCCCCTCCAAACCATACAACTTTTGTCTGAAACATTTTTCAATAAAATCATCGGTTTGCGAGATATAACACTGTAAACTTTAAAATTGAACATAAGATTAAAATTGTCTATAAAGACATTGCATTTCCTCACACATTAAAATTCTTGCCTTCTTTAATTAATTTGCCATGTTATGTTAGAAACGAGAAATTATATAAATTCTTTCCTTGCGCTAGATTAAAACAATTTCGGTTATATTAAAATTTTTACAGCAAATACCAGACTGTATCAAATATCGAATAATAAATGAACTTTTCCCTTAACGTTATTAACAAACAAAAGTGAAAATTTTCTTATGAAGGACACGATATCTTACCGTATTTTTAATCATATATTTATGATTGTATTTACAATATACAGATATGAAATTGTTTAAAATATGCATTAAATAAGGAAATATATATAAAATATATAAATGTGCACAATATAAAAAGTTACACAGAGAGAATTTTCTCTCAAAATTTACCCTGAAATCATGGTAGTTGTGGGACATGTACCACCAAGAATTTTATGCGAGCTATTCTGATTGTTGGAGAAGTTTAATTGCAATCAAAATTAAGTATGCGTTGTTAGGACTTTCAGCCCTTAAAAGGAATTTATTGTGTCGATTATGGTTAAAAGATATTGATGATTAACGTAGAGTCTATTGCGTCAAAATTGCGACTTAAGGATTATGGATGTTATTAAAAATCAGTGTTGTACATTATTCGAATAAATTTTTATTCGATTACAAATAACGAATAATTTTTTTATTCGTAATTCTTTATTCGTTGATAGAATTATTCATCATTAAAATTATTCGTTATTCACAATTAAATATGTTTATTCGTTATTTTTTATTCAAAAATAAAACAAAATATATAAAAAATTTTGTTAACAAATGATAATATTTCGTAAATGTAAAGTTATAATTTATTAATTAGTATTTTTAACATTAAATAAATTAAAACTAAAGAAATTTAATAAATACAAACAATAAAAAATAAAAATTTAATTTAATAAAAACCTGTGTCATTAGTTTTAATTAATAAAATAAAAAACAACATAAAAACTAATCTTATTTATAAATAGAAAAAGAAAAATTTAATGAAAAAAGTACATAATCAACTAGATGGTTGATATTAGTTGATCAATAGATTTCAGAATGTTTTTCTTTTAGTTGGTTTAAAAAAAATCACTTAAATTATTATCAAAGTTTATTTTTTATTTGATACAGTTTTATGTAAAAATGCTTTCAGAATAATCTCTCCACCGGAGCCGAAGAAGGAATGAATGTATTGTATTTTAAAAAAACTTTCTTTAGTGTAGAATATTTTTCTAGATAAGATATCTAAGGGTCTGGATCGCTTAGGCCTAGATAATGAAAGATCTAGAAACAAAAACGAAAATAAGGATCATAAAGCACATTTTTTCGTTTTTGTTTCTAGATCTTTCATTATCTAGGAGATCCAGACTCTCAGATATCTTATCTAGAAAAATATCCTACAATAAAGAAAATTTTTTTAAAATACAATACATTCATCCCTTTTTCGGCTCCGGTGGAGAGATTATTTTCATTTGCTACGATGATTAATACAGCCAAATATCATCGATTATCAGACAGTATGTTTGAAAAACGTGTGCTTCTGAAAGCATTTTTAAATAAAAATGTATCAAATAAAAAATAAACTTTGATATAATAATTACTTTTAAGTGACTCTTTTTGTCATTTCACGCATCTTTCAACTAAATCTGAAAGCAAAATTCTGTCACTTTTTGTATCATGTATCTTTTTAATTACATCTAAAGTTAAAAATTCATTAAAGTATATAATGCTTCGCGAATTAGCTAAAGAATACAGTTTTACATTTCGATCGCTTACAAAGTCAGAAATTATTCACTCCTGATTTTCGCCAGATTAAAACCGACTTCAAAGAATCTGGCCATTAGTCACGTCGGTCATATGTGAATAACAATTTTATGAAATCTCATAAACTCCCACACATGTTCTCTTTCTTGAGATTTATCTTTTCATTATAAAACGTTAAGTTAAAATATTAAAAAACGTGATAATCTCAACGTGATAATCTGACGACAAACGAATAAACTTCGCAGAAATTAACAGAAGGGTCTTCGGGTGTTTATTATCGAACGTCATATATATTGTCATTTCGTAATACTATCGTGGCGGTCAATGTGATAAAATGATACCGGGGATTTCGAAATCTTACATAACGCAACGATCGAGAAGGATAATGCGACGGCGCAGCGCCCATCGGGATTACACTTTATTGTTCGACTATTGCGCGAGTCAGTTCACTGGACACTGCGTGAGGGAGGAAATAAAAAAAAACGCTCAACGTTAGCGCCGATTGCAAGACATCGCGTTATCGCGAGAAACTTCATCTAACATAAAATGCGTCAAGAAGTCCCGGATGTAAGAACTTCTTATTGGCGTAAACGCCACTCGAGGATTCGCACTCGGAAAGATCCGAGGAGGCGCAAAAGGCAACAAAGTGGAACTGGGGAATTCGTTCGAATAAAACGCAGGCTTCGGAGATTTCGGCCTGTCACGAGGAGGGTAGTAGCGTGGAAGTGACGCGCCGCGTATCGATCAGGTTTCCCCGCGGAAACTTACTCGGCTCGAGATAAAGAGATTCACACTTACAATTAGCCGCGAGATCTCTACGATCTACGAGAAACGACCGCGCAGCGATCGAGGGCTGAGGTCGGCGGTTAGGAAACTCACGGGAATCAACCAGCGTGGTTGCTGGCGTATCACGATTCCAGTTCTTTACCATCCCCCGCGGTGTAACGCGGCGCGCGTTACGGTTCCGCGAGAGAAACTTCGAGTTGCCCGAGTCGGCGGTAAACACTCCCTCGACCGATCGCGCACTCAAGCTGACGGAATGTCGCGCGGCTGCACCGAGCCTCGTCGAAGTCAAAACATGCACGCTCTAAAATGTTGTTTTTCCACTTTCCCGTCCCCTTTGC